GGGGTTTGGGGGTTTGGGGGTTATAGGGTTTAGGGGTTTAGGGTTTAGGGGTTATAGGGTTTAGGGTTTACACATCGTCAAGGCACGGATACAGAGCCTCGCCACATTTAGCAAGAACACCCAGGATCCGCAAACCAATCTTTAGGCGAAGGATCCCTCGGACTGTCGCAGACTGTGTTCCTGCCTTGACACCCCTGATTCCTAAACTTAGTGGCTGAGTAGGTAACCTTTAACCTTTTGGGGCTTATATAATCCTACCATAATTGAACAGGTTAACCTTTTTTGGGCTAGGGTACTCAGCCCCTAAGTAAAACCACAAGCCCTAAACCCCATAAGCTCAACCACACCCAGGGCCTCAAAAGCCTTAAATCCTAGACCCTCAGCCTCGTAGAAGCGCTTGTAATCACCCTGAAGAACTCCAAAGCATTTGTAATAATGGCCTAAAGACTCATCTACATGAATCTGGGGGCTCCGTATTATAATTAGAGTATATTGGGTCCCAAAACCCTATTCTAATTATTAAGGCCCCTAAACCCTAAACCCTTATTTACTTATAGTAGCCCTTATAGAACCCTTTCAGGAGCCCCTTAAAGGAACCCTAAAAGGCCCCTATTCTAATGATTAAGGCCCCTACATTAAGAACAAGGAGTCTGCTCCACTTCCTGGCCCTGACAAGCTCCGCCACCTCGCTGGACCGCCTGATTCAGGCACGGTCACGGCTTGAAGGCTCTACCATCGACAAGCACACGTCACGTAATATATATATATATTATATATTATATATATATATATGTATAACCATAATTATACTTATATGCATTGAGATGTATAGATCCATTATGATATATTGAATCACTGGAAAGATGCAGACAACACAGGCCTAAGCAGCCGTATCCTAATCAGAAGTTTCAGGAGGCATGCCGCTCATTATCGGCTCATGAAACCAGTGCATGTATACATATACAGTATGTGTACATATACACAGATATCATATACGTCTATCTATGTGTACGAATGCAATACCTACGGTGCACGTGGTTGTGCACATGTGTGTCTAGGACAAGCAAGGAAGCTAGCTAGCAAGCAAGCAAACAAATGCATACATGCACAGACAAACGCAACGACAACAAAGTATGAGTGTGTATATGTGCGTAGGTGGTGAAACAGACTAAAAGATTGAGGTACATAGACACAGCAGACTTTATGCTTGAATATCGCTCCTTTCAGATCAAACCTGACAAGTCTTGGCAAGTTCTCACTACACCCTAAACCCTAAACCCTACCGGCATCATGCAGTGTTGAGGATTCGGGTCCGAAGCATTGTTGTTACGCTGCCCTTTCGGAAGGTAAAACCCTAAGCCCTAGACCATACTAAGGTAAGACCCTAAACCCTAAACCATCCTAAACCCTAAACCCTGAACCGACTGGAGGATTTGACTTCAGGATGAAGCTTCGGGTTGGGGGTTTCTTTGTTTAAAATAGCCCATAACCCAGACCCCTCAAATTAGGGTTTCAGCGTGGGTGTGGTTTTCTGTAGTCTTTGGGGCTTCAGGTTCTTGGGCTGAGGGTACCCCGAACGAGATCTGAGAGCCTACGCTCATAGCACAGACCTTCTTGCTCCATCCCTATCTCTGGCACCACAAGCTCCCAGCCCCAACCTTTAGAGCAAGTATTGCAGAGCCAATATGATCGCGTCGGGTTCCTCTTTTTTTGGTACACAGTATACCCCAAAGCCGTATTCTAATTTTCCAGGCCGCTACATAGAACACCTATAGAAATCCTGTAAAGAAAGGAAGCCTCTAACTTACAGAAACCCCGCTCCGATAATTAAAGCCCCCAGATTCTCCTTTGAGCTCAAACCTTAAACCTCAACCCCCCTAAACCCTGAACCCTAAAACCCTCAAGCCCTAATGGTTAAAGCCTGATGAACGGAGCCTTTTGCATTACCTTAAACTTAAACCCCCCTAACCCCTGAACCCTAAAGCCCTAAACCTGATTGAGAGGAACCTTTTGCGCACCCCTAAACCCTAATGGTCAAAGCCTGATGAAAGGAGCCCTTGTGCATTTCAGCAAGCTCAGAGACCATAATATCCTTTAATTAAGGAATATTCCTTAAATTATAGTAGGATCCTTACTATAGTTTAAGGAACATTCCTATTAAGGAATATCCCTTAAATTATAGTAAGGGTCCTACTATAATTTACAGAATATCCCTTAATTAAGGGATATTGGAGTCTCTGGGAGAAGCCTTCTTCCGAGCACAGAGGAGGGCCTGGACATCAACATGCCCTGCCGGCTCGAGCGCTTCTCTCTCACCGGGGCTCTGGCGGCCTTGCCCGGAGTTTACGGTTTAGGGTTCAGGGGTTAGGGGTGTAGGGTTTAGGGTTTAGGTCCAAGGGTTTGGGGTTTAGGGTTGAGGGTTTATGGGTTTAGGGTTTTGGGGTTCAGGGTTTAGCAGGGGGCGGGGGAGACAGAGTGTACGAGAGCCGGGGGATTTCGTGCAGGTTTATATACAGGTTCAGGATTTAAGGGGCGTGTTGCGCTCAGTGGTTTGGTGCTGTGCCTGGTCTGGTGTTTCCGGTTGAGGCTCGTGGGTTCATTTATCTTGAGTTGTTGGCTTGAGCTGACTTATGTTCTTTTGTGTTATCTAGCTTGTTTGTTGTTATTGGTTGTTTGCTCCTTATTAGTCCCGGTCTTGGTTAGCTGTGAGTTTGCTTGACCGTGCGCCTTTCTTTCAAGTAGGAGTTGGCACATGTAGACAGGTAGACAGATTCGACAGACAGGCAGATAGACAGATCGACAGATGGTTAGATGGATGGACCCGTAAATCGATAGATATCTGCATTGGCACATGCACAACCTGATCCAATCTCCTTACGAAGGTAAGAACCCCTAAACCCTAAACCCCGAAACCCCTTTAAGCCCAAAACCGCTAAACCCTAAACTTCCAAACCCCCAAACCCCTAAACCCCAAATCTCTAAATCCTAAACCCTAAACCCTAAACCCCTAAACCCTAAATCTTTAAATCCTAAATCCTAAAGAGCCTTGAGGTTGCTTTTGGGATGGTCACCAACAGGTCGCTTCGACAGCTCTTTTCTTTGGTGGAGCCTCGGCGAATGAAAGTTTTGAAGGGTTTAGGGTTTAGGGTTTAGGGGTTTAGGGTTTAGGGCAAAAGGAGGGGATGGTAGGCTTTCCGTGTTGTAAGGATAATGTGTTACTGTAGGGGCCTACAGAATTGCCAATACGATTTGGAGGCTCCCGATTATTGTAATGTTTTATGATGATAGTATAAAGGGCCCCTATGTTACTCGTTGGAGCTCTAAGGTTGGAGGACTATGTGTTTAAGGTTACACCTTCAGCCCTGACCCCAGGCCCTCCAAAGCCCCCCCCCTCCCCTCCCGAAGCCGAAAGAACCTCAACCCTAAAAGGGTTGTGGCCTCGGGTGACGGTTTAGGGTTTAGGATGTAGGGTTTAATTAAGGAAGCCTAGTGTTGGTCACAGAAGCCATACAACGGTCTGTAGACGGCTTTCGAGTTTGGGGAGTTGCTGCAGGGCTTTGGACCCGGGGTGTCTTTCCGAAGAACCCCGTAGAAAGCAAACAGTGTATGCTCCCGAGAACCCCATGGGAAATACAAAAGCTGCATGAATCCTAAGCCCCCACACCCTAACTACGCCCAGACCCCCAAAAACCCTAAACCCCAAAACCCTAAACCCTAAAACCCTAAAACCCTGAAATCCAAAACCCTGAACCCTAAAACCCTAAACCCTAAACCCAAAAAACCCAAAACCTGGAGATCCCCAAAGGCACCATGCTCTGAAGCCTGAAGCTGCCAGCAATTGGTTCTTACTTCCAGCGGGCTTCTCGAGCCTAGGACATGTTAAGTTGGGGAGTTTAGGGTAGAAGAGGCTTCCATAAAACTTCTATAAGGCATATAGGCCTTCTATAAGGCTCCTATGAGGGTAACTACCCACCTTAAAATGTCCTAGATCGAGCTAGTGCAGCAGTTTGGGCTTAGGGTTTAGGGGTTTAGGGCTCCCCAAAACCCTAAACCTTATACCCTAAACCCGAAACCCTGAACCTTAAACCCTAAACCCTAAACCTTAAAACCTAAACCATGTCTTGGAAGCCTGGGCTGCAAAGGATGGCAGCACGCCCATCCTCGCCGCAGCTGCCGTGGGCAACGCGAAGGCCGGAATGTAGGGTACGTTTTTCTGGGGGAGTCCCTACAGTGAGGGAGCTGTCAGAACATCATACCTTAAGTTATAGATGCTGTAACTTACGGATCTCATCGTTTAGAGGGCCTCATAGTACGTGCTACCCCGGGCTCCTGATGATACGGATCCTAGTATTCGGACTCACAATACGGATCCTGCTCGAATAAGAATCCTCTTCAGATCCATTTTGTCGGGTGTCGGGGCTCCAGTGGAATGTTGGTGTGGTGGGTGATCGTGTCTCCTGAAAAACTTGATGACAGCTCTACTTGGGGGTTTCCGAAAATAGAGGAAATTTTCGGAAACTCCGACTTTGCATTGATTGTCTTGCTGCGGGCTTTGAGGCCTTGACCTTGTGGCGTGCCTGGTCTGCTTTCGCAAATCTTCAGACCACTTGGTCAGAGTTTTTGTCAGCTTTGAACCCGGGGTTTGCGAACTGAAGGCGAAAGGAAAGGTAGCTGCTAGGTATTGGCATTTCAGCATTCGCGTTCGATGGTTCCGTACTGTATCAGACTGGCGTGGGCATTTCAGGTTTCCTAGACTCGTTGAAAAGGAAACCAAAGAGTTTGCGTTGCAGCCCTGCCTAGACATCAAACAAGCAGCCCCACACGCACTGCCGACTATGGAGTGATGTAGCCATGAAACGAGAAGGATCCTTGGCGTCATTACCAGGCCCTCAACCCCAAAACCCGAAACCTCGCACGTCTCGAAACCTCTCCACATCAAGAGGGCAGTTGTCAACTCCGCAGCAGTAGGGGCCACATTAGTGCAAAGAGATTATAGGGATATTATGAGGGAAATTGATAGCAAATTATTCAGAATTCTAGATTGCTACACGTCCCCTTCTGTAAGTTTACTGTAGACCCCTTTACGAAACACGAAACCCCTACAGCTAAAACACAGGTGGTCCAGAATTTGATGTGCGCGGGCGCGGTCACCACGGCTCGCAATGCACGAGGCGACTGGGATGCCACAACATAAGTCCTTGATCTAGATTGTAGTTGTCGGGGGTATGTCGTGGGGTAGAGGGTGGAATGATTTCACAAGGCTTAGTTGGTTGCGGATGTGGTCTCTGGGTTGTTAAGGGTTCGAGGTGAGTTCTGTTGGCCTACTATGATACGTAGAAGTGGGTTTCGCCGTTGTGTAGGGCTTGAGAGATTCGGGGTTCAGGGTTTAGGGCTGAGGAGGAGTTGGAGTAAGGCAGGTTCGGATGGCGCTTGGGACTGCTTGCACAGTTCTGGAGATCGTGCTATGCTGCGGTTCTCGGATTCTGGCTCTCCACGAGTTATCCTAAGAGCTCAAAGGCTCACTCCAAGAGTCCTCAACAACCGACCATGCCAGACCCAAGCTGTAAGCCGGGTGATGCTTTGTGTCTTTGGGCTGGACGCCCATCACACTTTGCGCTACACCCAGAGTTTGCTGCTCTAATTTCAGAATGGTTTCGGGCTTTCTTGGGTGAGACGGGGTGATGAGTTTACACCTAAACCCCAAACCGCAACATTTCGCTCAAACGTAAACCTTGATGAATACGCCAAGTCTTCGATTACATAACCTGTGGCCCATTTCATAGCGCTCCGCTTCCGGCCCGCCGCCAGCTTCCGAAGACGGTCCCAATCCTCAGAGTTTGCCTTTCGAATCAAGGTGTTGGAGGTGTGAAATTTAGGAATGCAGCTTTCAGGGTGTAGGATTTTGGGTTTCGAGCTCAACACAGTCAGGGTTTGGGCGACGGCTTGCTCAGGGATGGACATCCACCAGATTTGCAAGCTGAGCTGCCTACCTGAGTCCGTTTTCACAGCTTATGGTGCACCACTCCTGGAGTAGGCTTGCATAGGTTTTCCAGGATTCGGTGTCTGGGTCGTCCGAACCTGGAATCCCCAATTCGGGCCTCCTTTCTATGAGGGAGGTTCTTTTGGTAGGGCATCCTGCTATTTCATGCTCGTCCTATGTTCCCCACTTCTGCATCCGTTTTTGTTGGCTCCAACTGTTCGCCAGTAGTGGTCCGAAGCATCCTCGAAGAGGATGCTCAAGACTTTCCCACCAGCAGCAATTGAGACCAAAAGCCACAAACCAATATAGAGGCCTAAATAGTTACCAATACTATTTTGGGGGGCTCCTTACTATAATGGTATGTACCCCACAACCTAATTCTGATGAAGAAGCCCCTATATTATCTTCAGTTCTCGCACCTAGTGTTTGAACCTTTGGAACGCGTGCAACCGGGGTTTTGGAAAGCCAAACGCCTGGCTCTTGCAGAAAGGAGGGTGCTTGTGGTTCAGTGAAGGTAGATCCGATACTCAGAGCCCTACGTCCTGAACCTGAAGCAGGATTGTAATAGGGCTCCTATGGCTTTGCGGATGAGGGACGCTCTTCTTGGGTTTCAAGCTCATCCAAGTACGGCACTTCGCTGATCTGCCATGGAGCAGCCCAGTCATGGCTTCTTGTTTTCAGGCCCAAGCAAGCAAGATTCCATGGAAGAAAGCCACCAGGCATCTAGGTCAGAGGACGTGAGATCGAAGCCATAACTGCCGAAAACAAGCCCCTGTGACGTCGTGAGGTCGTCGAGTGACTATGTAGCAGCAACATGACGCGGCCGACACGGCAGCAAAACACAGGAAGCTCACTTCATGTCAGGTTTGGGAAGTCGAGTGTTTAGGGTAACATACTTTGGTACCAGTGTTAAACGATGACGTTCTTGTGTCTGCTCTGGTGTACCGAACAGAGCGAATCTTCAAACAGAAGCTCTTAGGGTACTTGCGGCAGAAACAGACACTCTACAGCCACAAATAGTTGCAACAGCCACAGCACCGCATTCTACCAGCCAGCTGTGCCTTTAAAAGTTTTCATGGCGTCCGCCCCCTAGTTTCAATTTTCCGGCCATGCACCGTGCCAGACATGCAGCGTCCTGCCCTGAGTCCCCTCTGGTGGAGCTTTTGAAGTTAGGGTTTAGGGTTTAGGGTTGTGGCTGGGTTCCATGTCACCCCGGACAACCTAATATTTTGCAGGGTCTGTCAGTGGCTGCCAGGGTTCCAGGGATATGGAAGTGACTTTGACGCGAAGCTGTTACTAGGTGTTGGGGATCATTATTCACTTCTGCTGTAGCAGTCTGAACTAAAGGGGTTATACCCTCAACCCCTACACACCCTAATGCCCTAAACCTTGATTACAGTTTCTCTGGGGCGGGCAGGGACTCGGTTTTGGGGTTTTTATGGCTTTGAGTTAATAAGTCAAGGGGTTTAGGGTGCAGCGTTCAACTTCTATAGGGGTGCGCTAATTTCGACCTATAGGGCCTGTGGTTGGAATGTCTCAGACTCAACCTGACACCCTAAACCCCAAACCCTAAGCTCTTGGGTTTAGGGTTTAGGGTTTCGAAGCTTCGGCGATTGAGGGTTTCAGCAAGCCCCAGAACCCTAACCCTCAACCCAACGTACTTCGACCGGGACCCTCTAGTGCCTTGCCAGATCAGCGTGGCCACAAAGTAGCAAAGGCTGGAAATCCTTAAACACCGCAAACCCCTGATTCCGCTAAGCCCCCAACCCTAAACCGTAACATCAAAGATCTGGCACACCCGAAATGACATATCTTGTGTCTTTAGGATGTTGGGACTGGGTTGTCTCTAGAGTGTTAAGGCATTCTGGAATTTAAGTCTGTTAGGGCCTCAGGGTTTGTTTTGTTTTATTTGCACTTGGGTTTGGGGTGTATGAATCCGGGCTTCGGGGTCTACGGTACGGCGCATCAGGTTCGCTGTCCGCGCCGTTGCGAGGCATTGCCAAGGACCATGGGCGCTTGCAGGTTTCGAGGGTTTCGCATGTGACCCGCTAAGAGGCAGATGCTGCTGCTTACGGATTTCGGATATATGATTTGAGGGGCAGCAATCTAGGGTTCAGGGAAGCTCTGTGCCATTTGAGGAGGTAGGTCAATCTGGTCAGGGTCTGCGGGCTCCCGACGATTTGGCTGTTTCCAGATGCTTCCATCCCTGTTTCTACCAAACGGGTTCGGCATTCGGTTTAGGGCGCTGGCTACAAACGAAGTTGTTCAGCTTTGTTTCTGTTGCTGATGGGGCTTGTTTCGTACCTTACGGTGCTAGGTCACTTGCAGCATACTCGGACTTCTGTTGTCTATATCGGCTGAAGTAAAGATGGTGCATGAAAGCGATTACGAGTTCGTTTACTGTCACCCTCTTGGACTTGCGTAGTTAACCCTGTGCTCTGTCAGCGCTGGTATCTAAACAGCTTCTAGCTTTGACCCCCACCAAGGTTCTGTCGTCCGCTTGCAAGACACAGTATCGATAAAGATGGCCGTGGCTTTGCAGACAGAGTCTGTGCAGTCAGTTTGTGCTCATTTTACTTACACCCTGAAGAATTCTAAGAAGTCCAGAAGCTCGCGAGACTGGCAAGGAGTGCACCGAGGAGCCACGGTAACCGCTGTCAGCCCGGCTCTGCCTTCTTCAACGAGTTGCGGACCCTAAACCCTAAACCCGAAACCCTGGACCCTAAACCCTAAACCATAAGCCGTGGGTAATGAGCGCCACAGGGTATTCGTCAAGTGCTTAAGTCTACAGTTTGGTTGTCACGTTGACGTTGGGGCCCGTTGAGAAGGTATTCCACAACTTCGAAGGGCGGCCGACCACCCAGAGACCGCAAGGACACCACAGCTAAACTGCTACAGTTCAGGAGCGCGGCCAAGAAGGCTTCCTTCAAGTGCTGGCGGGACTTGATCAGGACCCCCAAAATGCTTCCCCTCAGTAGATAGATTTCGGTGCCAAAATGTGGGGCGAATGTACTCGAGTTTGCATTGCTTTTCGAGCCACGACGGAATGCGTAAATACTAGTACGTCACTAGACACTGTGACCAATTGGCTTTGTCCCCAACGTAAGAACAACATAATGTGTGTGTGTGTGTGTGCGCGCCACAAACCCTAAGCCAGAAGACCCAACGCAAACCCTACAAAAACCCGAAACCCTACAAAAACCCTACAAAAACCCTAAACCCTAAACCCTAAACCCTAAACTAAACCGAAAAGACCCCCAACAAAGCGCTGGCCAGGCGCCCCTCATAAGCCGTGGTAACCCTTGGCCACGCACGAGCCGGGCTTTGAGTAGCCGGGAAGCCCTGTTTTTCCTTGGTGGCTGAGTAGGTAACCTTTAACCGTTTGGGGTTTATATACTCGTACCATAACCCTAAACCCTAAACCCTAAACCCTAAACCCTAAACCCTAAACCCTGAACCCTAAACCCTAAACCCTAAACCATAATGAACAGGTTAAGCTCTTTTGGGCTAGGGTACTCAGCCCCTAAGTCTTCCCCAAACGGGTTTAGGATGTAGGGCTCCTCAGAGCTTCGAGAGGGCCTGTCTTGTAGGGTTTACAAGGGTGGTTCATTACCTGGCACTTGAGGGGTCTATAGGGCTTCGGGTTTAGAGCTTTGGATTTGGAGTTCGGGATGTGGAGCCCGGATTAAGAACCCCCCCCTGCCTTAGCAGCCAGAAAGCCTTGCTAATGACCACTCTTATGCCTTCGCGGTCCGGAATATGGTTATCGGTTATACTCTATGATACCCACAACCCTATTCCAAGTAGCAATGCCCCTGTAGTATTGAATCTCGGTCTAGAGTACCCAGTTCTTCAAGGTTGTTCGTGGCAGGGCTTCGGGGTTGGGATTTTCTTATTTCCTTGAAGAGTCTGTAGGTGGTTTTAGCGGGATCATGAGGGTTTGGCTAAGGCTTATTATGGTTTTGCACTGTGGCTTTTTGAAGCGGGTTTCACATCTAAGGTGTTTGTTATAGTTTATGGTGTATTATTCGGGGGCCTTGATCGGGCTTGAGGCTTGTGGCTGTGTCCTACCGTCATCATGGAGAGGATGCAATCCACGACCTATTGAAGCTCGGTGGGCTTCGGTAGAAGTGCGGGTGCTTTGTAGCGAAGCATCCGCAGTTTTGCACGCATGCCGTTGAATTTGGTATCACAACTTAAGGGTTGTTGGGTGACAACTCCGCGGAGGGCCTGGGGGAATCGAATCTCGAATCCAATCTAGTCAAACATCGTATACCATAAGTTAACAGAGTAATATAGGGGCCTGAATAATTAGAATCGGGTTTGGGAGAATATTATACCATAGATAAAACAACGAACCCCGAAACCCTGTTCTAATTATTAAGGCCCCTGCATTAGAAAGCTTCCATCTCCCACAAGCTCACAGCAGGACAACCAGGATTGTAGGCGAAGTATTACGACATGCTCACGACTGCTCGTGGGTTTACGGTTTAGGGTAGTAACCATGTACCCACTTTAGTCTAGTTGGCTTATCAGTTCAGTGGTAGTTCTAGGTTTATGATTCAAGCGCCCGGAGCGACAATCCCTAAACCCTACCCAAAGCGAACAAACCCTAAATCCGAAAAGCCGAAACCCTAAACCCTAAAACCCTAAAGCCCTAAACCGAAGGTTCTAAACCCCGAATGGAGGCCCCAACAAAGGAAGGTCCCGGGTTCGCCCATGTCCGGCTCAGGCCACGCCTCCTCCAGCCAATGTGAACCTGCTCAGTCCGAGAAAGGCGCTTAGGGTGGATTTAAGGGTTTAGGGTTTAGGGCTTTAGGGCTCAGGGGTTTAGGTTTTAGGGGTTTAAGGTTAGGGGGTTTAGGGGTTTAGGGTTTAGGATATATAGTAGCCTGAACAATGGGTAATTGCCATTCCCTGGGGTTCCTCACTACGGTTTGGGATTTTGGGCTGGGGCGGGTTTTTGGTGTTTGCAGTTAGCCGCATCCTTTGTTACTGAGCAATAGAGTCGCTGTAAAGCCAAAGGTTTCAAGTGGCTCGACTGCCACCATCGT